AACGGCTGTAAATAAGATGCAGTCCCTGTCCTGAGGATGTTACAAACCACAGGAGACATACTAGGCAAATGATCACAGGTGGGACAAGTGTCACAAGGCAGAGACCAAGGTGCCGGTGACTATGTGAGAAGACATTTCACCTTGCCTACAGGTCTAACAGGCCCCTTCTTGATGAAATGACATTTAAACTCGGCCTGGAGGCTGGCGAGAGAATCAAGAGAACTGCTTCTTCTTCACTGGGGCCTTATGCAAAACTGTTCCCACTTCAGGAAGATACCATATTTTAAAAGTTCATTTTCAGCCGGGCGCAGTGGCTCCTGCCCATAATCCCAGCACTTTGGGAGGCTGAGGTGGGTGGATCACAAGGTCAAGAGACTGAGACCATCCTGGCCAACATGGTGAAACCCCATCTCTATTAAAAACACAAAAATTAGCTGGGCGTGGTGGCACATGCCTGTAGTCCCAGCTACTCAGGAGGCCAAGGCAAGAGAATCGCTTGAACCCGGGAGGCAGAAGTTGCAGTGAGCCGAGATTGCACCACCGCACTCCAGCCTGGCAACAGAACAAGACTCCGTCTCAAAAAAAAAAAAAAAAGATTCCTTTTCATTCAAGTTGATGGATTTGGGGCACTTAATGTTTTGTCCATAGAAATATACTTACAAATAGTGGCTAGGTTTCCAGGTTAGGCTGCCAGCACCTAATTATCTACAATGGCTGCAGCACCAACAGCCAGAAATAGCATTTTATCCAGGTTGTGGTGAGCCGAGATTGCACCACTGCACTCCAGCCTGGAGGCAGAGCAGGACTCCATCTCAAAAAAAAATCTCAGGTTTAATGCTTGTGTATAGCCAGATTTTAAAACTGTCAATTAAAGGCTGATTCATAAACTGGCACATCAATGCTCAGTGCCCAGGTGCGCCCCTGAACATGGGGTTCCTACTATAACAAGCAAAGTTGATGTGAGATAAGGGGACCCATGGGAAGGAGCCTAGGCTTAAACCACACATATAAATCATGGGAAAGGCTGGGCACAGTGGCTCATGCCTATATTCCCAGCACTTTGGGAGGCTGAGGCAGGTGGCTCACCTGAGCTCAGGAGTTCGAGACCAGCCCAGGCAACATGGCGAAACTCCATCTCGACCAAAAATACAAAAAATTAGCTGAGCATGGTGGCACACACCTGTGGTCCCAGCTACTCAGGAGGCTGAGGTGGAAGGATCGCTTGAACCCAGGAGGCGGAGGTTGCAGTGAGCTAGATCGTGCTACTGCACTCCAACCTGGGTGAAAGCGAGACCCCATCTCAAAAAAAGAAAGGAGAGAGAAAGAAAGGGAAAAAGAGACGGAGGGAGAGAGGAAGCAAGGAGGGAGGGAAGGAAGGGAAGGAAGGACTGAAGAAAGAAAGAGGTAAATCATGGGACGTGGTATTCCCAGCCAATTCTGATCACCAGAGTTACTCTGCAAGGCAAACAGGTGGACTGCCAGTAAACCCATTTGCTCAGCCCCGCCTTCTCAGATACAAACAGTGTAAAGTTCAGAAAGGAGTAACTTCTCCCAAAGCCTATTTATTCAGAGTGTTAAGTTACTGCTGAAAGTTTAGAGGGGCAGGGACCTCAGAAACAGAGTTGGCAATAAACAAAGATATTGCCAACTGCAACATGGCCCATTATGAGGTCAGTGTCATTCAAAGCGTAGCTTAGAACACAATGATACTGGCAGTGTGTCCTTCTAAATAAGCAGGATCTTTTTCTACTGCTTCAGTATTTACCCAGTAATAGAAAAGGGACATACATACAGCCTGGTTCCTGTCACCTCACCTTGTGCTGAGTGAAGTTGGTCTGTGGAAGGCCAGAGATACAGACTGGGATGGTTCACCCTCAAGAAAAAAAAAGGCTCAGGAATGTCATGGCACCTGCTGTCTAGTTTGTGTGTGTCTTACGATGAAACGGTATTAAACTAATTTTATAAAGTTCCAGGGCTCAGATCCTTGGGTAGAAGCTACAAAAATGCCATTAAGCATACTACAATCAGATATGACTCCTCATCCAAACTTAGGAAGCATCCTCCTTCACTAAAATGAAATCCCAGGAATTCTGCTTCCAGGAATTAATCCAGAAAAAAATACTGGGTACTTCCTAAATGCTCTTCAAGAGATGATTGGTTACATAAATGATACGATATCCAAGAGACAGTAGAGCAGGGATATGGAAACTTAACACAGACAACCTTTAAGTTGCACATTTTAATTTACAATTTTTACTGATAAAAAGGATTAGTTTACAAAAAGGGAAGTCCTTTATACAAAATAAGGATTTTTTTCCATTTGTAAAGAGAATCCACTGACATGTTTTGCCTTACCAAGTCAAAACTCAAATCACTTGTTTTGGTAAAATTATTCCAGAAAGATAATCCAGACAAAATCAATAACGTCATCAGCTTCCTAACCATGTTTAAGAGGAATAACTTCATGAACATTTTGCCCTGAACAGAAGAGTTCTAAATACTTGTAAACCTTTAGGGAAAAATGACTGCCCTTAGGCAGCTGACTGGTAAGAGTGTACACCACAGACTCTGGGTCACTCGTCAGAATCTTCTTACACATACTGTGAGTCTCCAGGCCTGTACAATGAGTGTACATGCAACATCATTGGAATAATGGCCTCTAAATTTTACAAGTAAACTTTATTGTGACCACAGGTCAACAATAAAACATATGACAGCTAAGGTTCAGACTCTCCCCACCTATTTTATCATATAAATTAAATATGGAGAGGTACACACAAACTCTATTCAAAATGAGAAGCCGTTTGCCAACTCTCATTTCCTAGGAAAACACACATCACACTGTTTAAGGGCGGGGCGGGGGGGAGAACAGTCATACTGTTAGAGCACAATGTCTCCTGAAAAGAAACTGATCAAAATGTTTGAAGCCTTTTTAGCTGCCTCAAAGTATGGCAGTCACTAATACTGCTCCTAACAGTCTGCTTTCAGCTAATGCCATCAAATAAAATAACTGTGTGAAAAGCCATGGCCTTCAAAAATCTTTATTTGGTTATGAGCCAAGCTCTGATGGGAAAAGCCCACCTATGAAAAAAAAAAGTTGTGGGTATTGAAGCTGGTCTGATTCACAGAGCTCGTACATTCATGACTCAAAATAACAGCCCCTCAAACCCAAATGATTCTAAAGCCATTATAACCTTAAATCATGTGTGATTCCCTTAGATGTGCTTATATTAATTCGCTTTAAAAAATGATCCACGTGCAGACAGGAGCTGCACCTTCCTCACAATCAATTGAAACATGACAAAAAAATGGAGGGTAGGCAAAAAAAAAAATGACATTACTTAAATCGAGTATGAGGGTCTCTCCTCTACCTTACTCAATGAACACATATCCAGAATGAAAATGAAATGGAATCAATGCCCAGGAGCCTCTCAAAGAGAGCATCTCCCTTTAGCCGACATGATCACCTAACACAAAGCAACCCAACTACTCTGGGTACACACAGCCAGTAGGCCCTACATGTGAAAGGCAAAGGGGCTGCATCTCCCACGGTTTAAACCCAACCCTGTGTTAGATGCAACGCCACTGCAGTCTCATAGGAAAAAAACAAACAAACAGCAAAAACCCTCATATCTCATTAATACCAATCTGTGGTCCTCACTGACTCAGTGGTGCTTTTTTTTATAAAAACACATCGGAAGAGGTGGCAAATGGTGACAACGGATGTCAGGTCGAAGCAATTCCAAAAGCTGAGAAAAGCGCTTCATCCGCTGCTTCAGTCTTCTCCCCCTATTGCTACAGTCCTGCCACCAAAGGGGGAAATCGTGTGAATATGATTGTTGTGACCAAGCCTTGGCAAAAGTCAATAAATAAGAGAGCCTGTCAAAAGCAGAACAATTTTATGGGCAACCTCTTCTAGTTGCAAATGTGGAGGGTGGGAAAAGAGGGAGGGAGGCATGTGTGCAAGAAGGAGATAGGGTCCTTTTGAGAAAGGTTTGGTGACCCCGCCCCAGCGCCCCAGTTCGGTCCCAGCAGACTAGGACCTGCTAAACCCATTATTCAGATGGAAAGGGGAGAAGAGAAGACACCAAAAAATGTAGTCAGTTGTGAAATTTGCACAGTTGGTGTTTGTTCTTCGTAGCAGTAAGGACTTGAATAAGAATCGTGAAAATTGTGGAACACTTGTATTTTTCTTCGGGATTTAAAAAACTTTTGTCTTGTACTGAAAGACTACATTCAGTGCGGGTCAGGTCCAACAGTGTTAGCTAGAAGGCGGTTGTTAAGCGCACCCAGCACTGGGAGGGAAGGTGGCCTGAGATCGGCTGCCTGAGGCCACCCCTTCACTGGTCTCCAAGTCGAAAGCCCTGGCCCCAGTTGTGTCTCCCGCCTCCGCCATTCGGATCAGCAGCTCGCCTCATGCTAGCAGGGGGCACGCCAAATCCTGACACTCCTCCCCTCCTACTGGGCAGCCAGTGGTACCTGGTGCAGAAAGATAGGGACGAAAAGGGAGAAAAGAGTACAAAGTCACTTCCACGTAGTTATCTGAGCTCCGAGAATACCTCCCTCTCCTGCTGTTCCCATGGCATGTCATGTTGAAGGTGGTGAGTGACAGTATCTTATTTAACTCTGTCTTCTCTGTACTCAGCTCAATGACCTGACCACTGACAGCATTCGTGTTTCATGGGTTTTTTTTGTTTTTTGAAACAGTGTCTCGCTTTGTCATCCAGACTGGGGTACAGTGGCACAATCTCAGCTGACTGCAACCTCCAACCTCCTGTGTTCCTGCAATTCTCCTGCCTCAGCCTCCTGAGTAGCTGGGATCACAGGCGTGAGCCAACATGCCCAACTAATTATTTTGCATTTTTAGTAGAGACGGGGTTTCACCATGTGGGCCAGGTTGGTCTTCAACTCCTGACCTCAGGTGATCTGCCCATCTTGGCCTCCCAAAGTGCTGGGATTACAGGCATGAGCCACCACGCCCAACTAATTATTTTGCATTTTTAGTAGAGACGGGGTTTCACCATGTGGGCCAGGTTGGTCTTCAACTCCTGACCTCAGGTGATCTGCCCATCTTGGCCTCCCAAAGTGCTGGGATTACAGGCATGAGCCACCACGCCCAGCCTCATGTTTCTTAAATGTATTAAGATTTCAGCTAAATTCACACTCTGAACGTTTTTTTCTCTGCTTATAAAAGTAATCTATGCAGAACAGTATGGAAACAAAAATATTACACCCACAAGCCCAACAACCAAAGAATGACTGATAGCATCTTGGTATTGCTAAATATGGATCAAACTAGATCAAGGATACAAAATAAATTCACTTTCAACGGACAAATCCACAGCCTGTGTGTGAGCCTTGCACAGCATTTCCAAAAGGCTCTCAGCTGAGCCCATCAAAGGAGACTGGGGAAGAAGCTTTCTATGTTGGAAGTACGGGTATGTTTTAAAATGTATTCAGAATCTGCCTTCCAGCTACATCCTTCCCTTCTCACAGATGGTGGGAAAGCTGGGGCCACAGAAGGTTAGATGATTTCCCACCTTAAAATTAATAAATGAAGAGTTCACAGAACAGCTAAGAGAACATAAACCCAAGCCTACACTCTCAATAGCATTTTCCAACTATTTCCCATCCTTGGCGATTTTATTAGTAAACTGAGAATGTGTTTAAACCTATTCTACTTATCAGATCCTCATGTTTAAAAATTTCCTTGAAAGCAGAGAGCATGATCTGATACCTCTGCTTAAACCCCTCTCGGCAGCAAGGTAAGCCATGACAGGTGACTTGTCCACAGCAGAAACCCTGAAGAGGACAGGCTTTATACTTGACCTTATTCTAGAGTGGTTACTATGTGAGCTTCAGTGAGCATTACCTTATACCAGTTGCTGCCTGCTTATAAATTCATCTGATCTTCACAACAACCTCATGAGGTGGGCATTACTATTACTCCTGTTTTATAAACAAGAAAACTGAGCCAACACTGAGTGAAGTGCTTCAAAAGTGACAGGATTCCAACCGGGGCAGCCTGGCTGCAGAGCCTGCGCCCTGCGCTACTTGTTATACATGCCTCCTGCCTGGGAAGGGACAGCAGTCAGTGACCGGAGCCTGTTGACATCACACTTGATACCTTAATGCCTCTCCCCGAAACAGAAAACAATCCCTTTTAAACACAAAATGTACTGTGTACAGAGATGTAACTACTTCTCTAAATAGAAAAGGGTACTACGAATGGATCAGCACTCCATTTAGAAAAGTGGTTGCATCTCCTTCTACTCATCACCCGCATTTTAATCAAATACAGCTTTACCGTTTAAATCGAAATATATTTCTAAGCACTGGTTTCTCAACATCCACGCCTTCCGGGACAACGGTATTCCTCCAGAGTATGTCATAAAACAGAACCCTGCAAAAGGCACTGCCAGGGCTGCCTTGCTTTGCTACTCACTCTAAGACAATATGGAAGCCATCTCCACTGCTTAAGTAGATAGCGAAATTAAATGCAAGTAATTAGTATAAAAAGATACCCAATTATACATAATCAACAAAAATTCATGGTGATTTCAAAGCAGTTACTGCTTTTTCAAGGAGCTATATTTTGTCATCTGATCTGTATGCAAAATTTAACAGAAAGACTTCCACCAACGGAGAAAGTTCAAGTTGGAAGGCAGACGCCAGTGCTCTGCTGATTTTGCCACTAGAATCTTGTATCCTGTGTTGCCCACATTTGAGAAGTATCTACAAGCCGTTAAGTTAGAATATGGCCACTTAACGTAGAGTAACTGTTGGCTGCCCCCCAAAAGCACCAAGCTTTTTTTAATTGATGCATCTGCCATCCTATTTGATAAACCTAGATCAGAAAGCCAAACGTGCTGTTATTATGTCCTTTGATAATTAGAAACCAGATTGGTCATTTGTTTTTTTAGCTTGAAGGCAATTTCAGGCTCAGAAGAGAAACAAGTTTCTTTTTATTCTCTTAAAGAAAAACACACACAGCACGACCACCAATATGATGTATTTCTGTATACTACAGTTCACGATTTGAAATGTCTTTGAAAAATATAACCCTACACTATAAAAGGAAGGGGAGAAAGATTTACTGCCCTCACTGATCCCTCAGAAGAATGACAGAACTGCAAAACATCAAAATTAGCAAGAAGTGAAAGAGTTTGGTTTGCTTTTTTAAAAACTTTTAAATGTAAGCTATTGCGGCATATCCCTGACATGAGATTAGGCACGATTGTCAGGCAGGCTGTGACACCCAGATGGTGATTTAACTGGTCCCTTCTTCAACAGCCTTTTGCCTCACTCGTGTGACAGAAAAGTCACACAACTATTACATGCTTTTGTGTGTAACAGTACGCATCTCCTCTCACCTAGTCAAAATCCTGCTCTCCTACCCCCACCTTTAAGAATATGGCAACTATCACGCCTGTAATCCCAACACTTTGGGAGGCCAAAGCGGGCAGATCATGAGGTCAGGAGATCAAGACCATCCTGGCCATGGTGAAACCCTGTCTCTACTAAAATACAAAAAATTAGCCAGGCATGGTGGCGCGCGCCTGTAGTTCCAGCTACTGAGGAGGCTGAGGCAGGGGAATCGCTTGAATCCAGGAGACAGAGGTTGCACTGAGCCAAGATCATGCCACTGCACTCCAGCCTGGCAAAAAAGCAAGACTCCGTCTGAAAAAAAAAAGAATATGGCAACTAACTTTACTTACTAAGAACCCACAACTGTGCTCCCAAAAGTGTATCTTACTCATGCAGTCCTGTGAGACCTGGGCTTCCCCACAATTTACAGACTTGCAAACTGAAGCTTGGAGGTTTGATTAAGTAACTTTCCCAATATAAAAACTGCCATCTGAGGGGACTAGGATTCAAACCCAAGTTGGTCTCAAAACTCAGAGCTTTTGCCCTTAGCATTCCACTTCAGTAAACCCTAAAAGCAGATCAAGAGCACAAACTCCCAGGAGGTTGGGACTATACAAACCTCAAGTCTCTCATTTTAATGCTGGACAGTCCTGTAAAATGTCTATTCCACAGTATTTAATATAAAATTAAAATTGCTGACCAACAAGCTAACTTACCCTTCCTTGGGCAAAATCATGAGTAAAAACTGATGTACCAAGAAAAGACACCCTGCGCCAGGTGTGGTGGCTCACGCCTGCAATCCCAGAACTTTGGGAGATGGAAGCAGACAGATCACCTGAGGTCAGGAGTTTGAGACCAGCCTGACCAACAGGGAGAAACCCCGTCTCTACTAAAAATACAAAATTAGATGGGTGTGGTGGCACATGCCCGTAATCCCAGCTAACTGAGGCAGGAGAATCACTTGAACCTGAGAGGTGGAGGTTGCAATGAGCTGAGATGGCACCATTGCACTCCAGCCTGGGCAACAAGAGTGAAACTCCGTCTCAAAAAAAAGAAAAAAGAAAAAACACCCATTTCCCCAGCCCACCGCCTTGCACTATAGAGTTGTATCAGGTCCTCCAGCAGGCTCAGCAGGCTGAGATGCCTCCTGTGATGCTGGAATCTAGTCATCAGTGGTCCCTGGTAAAAGAGCTCCAGGAAGGTAACTGAGCTGAGGCTTTCGTCCCTGACTTCCTATGACTGTGTGACTAGGGTAAGTCATTTGTTGCCTCAGATTTCTCCATCAGATGGGGTGTGGGGGTAAATCCTACTCCTCATGGAGCTCTTATGAGGATGCATTAAGAACACAGGCAGTAAAATGTTAGATGAGACAGGAAAAAACACTTACAAAAACTGAGGTGTGGATAGAAAATTTCTTCCTCCCAAGTCCATTGGGTATCTGAACATTAGGAAAAAATACAGATGTCCAACAAGATTTCCAATAAGCTCATTGACTACCCTGCAAAGAGAGCAGAATTAGTTTAAAGACATTCAAGCAACACAGTGAGATGCATCAAGTTTTAACCAATAGCATAAGGAAGAGAGCCTTCAAGGCAGCCCATTTAGTCCCTGGGAATCTGTGAGAGCTGACAATGAGCCCTTTTGTAGTCTGAGTGGCAAATGCATTCTGAGGGAAACAGGAAATCAGTTCTACTGAACCAATGAGGCCCGCCGCTCTTCAAGGCCAGCAGCCCCTCTGACATCGCTTTCAAGCACCAGCCCATCCTCAAAATATTGTTTTTGCTACTTCCTGCCTCAAGAGTTGGGGAAGTTGCAAAGCAAGCTTCTGAATGCTTTCAGTCATGAATACTGTATTTGCAAAATGTGGGCAAACATGAAAGCTACCAAGAGAGAAGTGTGGGAGTAAGGAGAAGAGGAATAATAAATGCCTGTTCCCCTTTCCCGGAGCCATTAAGCACCTATCTCCTGCCTCTTGTACCCTTGGGTGTAAGACACCACAGAGATCACTTAGGAAAGCTGACTTGAAACCGGTAATGCTAAAATCAACGCTGACCTTCTTCAGTTTTCTCATGAAAACTGAAGCTTACATACAGGTCACCTCGAGGTTGTATAGATCTACTGTTACTTGTACATACTGTCTTTGTCTTCACCTGAAACATGATTCCTGTCAGAGACAAATCAACCCCTGCAACTACTTCCAGACTTCGCCTTCCTGAGTGGAAGAGTGGCTTTACCAAGCTCAGAACATGCTTTGCCCTATGCAATCTGCTCCATTCATTCACTTCTCTAGGATCACACAGAGCAAATATGTCAGATACACAAAGAACCAGGACTATGAAAATCGATTAAAATATTGAAAATAGCTCATAGTACAAGAAATGGGAGTTCTGGCTGGGTGCAGTGACACAGGCCTGCAATCCCAGCACTTTGGTAGACCAAGGCAGGCAGATCATTTGAGGTCAGGAGTTTGAGACCAGCCTGGGTAACACAGCAAAACGTCATCTCTACAAAAAATACAAAAAGTGGCCAGGTGCAGTGGTGCACACCTGTAATCCCAGCTACTCAGGAGGCTGAGGCATGAGAATTGCTTGAACCTGGGAGGCAGAGGTTGCAGTGAGCCAAGATCATGCCACTGCACTCCAGCCGCGGTGACAGATCGAGACCCCATCTGGAAAAACTAAATAAATATATAAATAAAAAGAAAAAATGAAGAAATGGGAATTCTTAGAGAAGCTGCATCTTGGTGTCCTCCCTTTAAAATTCTGCCTGGATAAATTAAAGGTATTTCTATGTCTAGTTCTAATTCCTGGCCAACAAACTGGATATTTGACCCTGGTGGGCCAAAAGTTCTGTATTATCAGGCAGGTGCAGTGGCTCATGCCTGTAATCCCAGCACTTTGGGAGGCCAAGGCAGGTGGATCACTTGAGGTCAAGAGTTTTGAGACCAGCCTGGCCAACGTGGCAAAACCTCGTCTCTACTAAAAATAAAAATAAATAAATAAAATAAATAGCTGGGCATGGTGGCGGGCCCCTGTTAATCCCAGCTACTCAGAGGCTGAGGCAGGAGAATCGCTTGAACCTGGGAGGCAGAGGTTGCAATAAGCCAAGATCACACCTGAATGACAAGAATGAAACTTAGCCTCAAAAAACAAACAAACAAACAAAAACAAAGTTCTGTCTTATCAAAACCACTTGCAAAATAATATCCTATCTAAGAATCGAGGTTTCTACGACTGGTCAGCAGTTTCCAAGGCATTCTGGAAATGCCTTATGAATATAAGACACAGTAATTTTATACATAGCTCTTAGAGGAGTCAGACGCAAATTAAGTCTATGTTTGCTCAATCTGAACAGTGAATCCAGAAATACATATTTGTTCCTATGCACATAGAGGAACATACTGCGTGTAACAATACATTTACGAAATCACAACCATTCAATATTCAATGCGCTTAAAGCCCTAAGATCTAATCAATTAGATGAAGTGAAATTATTCCATAAGTATATGGTTCTAATGTATCAATGCTGAGATTCTTTAAAGTTGTAGAAAGATTAGAGAAAGATTACTTCCAATTAAATATATCTAATATCACTTACGAGCCTCCGATGATATAGTTGAATCCAAGGATAACCCAGGGTAAATAGCAGGCCTAGGACAGAATGAACATAAACAAATGTGAGTAGCCACATCCAAAGAGGACACAGCTACTACAGGACTGACACTGACAAGGGCTTTATAGAAATCCTCTGGAAGGTCACTACAAAACTTCTCGGGTCAATCTATTATTCCCACTATACTTAAACCTTCCTATCTAAAACTATACTTACCTGTGTATTTACAACTGGAAGGACACAGTACTTTGCCCACAGATTTGATGCAATACAGGCCCTGCTGAATTACTATTAACAGCTTCAAAAAGTAGATGAGTGTCCTACAGATGCTACTAAAAGCAAGGCCTGGCCAGGCGCAGTGGCTCATGCCTGTAATCCCAGCACTTTGGGAGGCCAAGACAGGCAGATCACAAGGTCAGGAGTTCGAGACCAGCCTGGCCAACATGGTGAAATCCCGTCTCTACTAAAAATACAAATATTAGCCGGGCATGGTGGCACATGCCTGTAATCCCAGCTACTTGGAAGGCTGAGGCAGGAGAATCACTTGAACCTGGGAGGTGGAGGTTGCAGTGAGCCAAGATCATGCCACTGCTCTCCAGCCTGGGCAACAGAGCAAGACTCCATCTCAAAAAAGCAAGGCCCATGATAGAATGACACTAAGGTTCCAGCCAACAAATTGTGACAAATAAACATACCCTATCTTTTTAGTTTCTTCTTTTACATATCTTGTGAAATTCCTCTACATTTTTATCTCATTACACATTGATATAACTAATACTCTCCCAAATAAGAAAGCTCTCCAGATGAACTCAACATTTGAGCCCCTTACCAAATTCAAGACATCATACCAAGAGCTAAAGGAGTTGTGAGAAACTTCACAAACTAGGAAAGAGAGGGTTATACTTAAATAACCTCACAGCTACATATGGTAAGTACTAAAGAGGAAGACAAAGGATTGAAAAAGCCCCAAGTAAGACGCATTCTAGGCAGGAGACTCATGAAATATGTTCAGTTCCAACTCAAATTAAGAATGGGTGGGATTTATATGAAGAAGAGAATCCGGATGCTACAGGTGGGACATCCGAACATTGGAAAAGAAGAGAAGTGTTTGGGAGCAGAAACAATCCGTCTCAGCTACAGTGTAAAGCAAGTAACAGGGAACAAGGGAGTGTTAAGATTTTTAAAGGCAGGGTTTCACATGAGTTATCTCTCCTTCTCTCTAACACACACAGGTAACATAACTCAGGGACATATCCCTGAGGGGCCCAAGGTACAGAGGGAGTGAAGAAGAAATGAAAGCCAGCAAAGGACTCCCCAATAGCTAACAGAGCTGAGATTGAGGAGGGCAGAAAGGGGCTTGCCTATGGTATGCTGCTCTGCAGTGACCTCTCCTGGATAAGTCAGAAAGTACATCTCTGGACTGAAGAGGGATTTCTGTAAGACTAACAAAAAGGACACTTTTCCAGCCAAGGTAAAGTACCTTAAATCGTGTTCCAAACCAAAATGATACAATCATGTCTCTGTTCAGCTGGGCCCAGACATAAAGTACTGACATGATCAGAGGAATCATCAGCAACTGCAAAAGAAGATGACATGTAAAACCCAGGCTCCAGAGGCACTTTAAAAAAGTGTTTATCTACTGTGCTTTTTACCCCTCCTCTTCAAAAAATCCTCATCTGGGTAAAGGGAAACTCACCTGACCAGAATTATAAATTGATCCTATTATTTAATTTATCATGCAATGAATGCTACAAAATCCTATAATAAAACACAACAAAACTATATTGTTTTAGATGGATTCAGAAACATAAGAGTCAAGCTCTGTTATTTACAAAAAGCAAGCAACGAAGCATTACCATATAATCTCAATTTTTAAAAAACGTCCCTAAACATGCCTAGAAGATAGATAACCATTAGTGCCAATGTTCAAACACTAAAAAGAAGGCAGAAATGAACAAGGAAAGCAATGATTTAGATAACTCATGTAAGATCTTCAAGCTGACTTAAGATCTTTAAAATAAATCAGCTATAATTCAAAATACCACATAATTAACCCTGAATAGTTAATGCAATTTCAACTTCTGACAAAGGCCATTAATAGTATATTTGAAACATATAAAAGGGCAAATAGATAGTTTAAAGGGACACTTACCTGCATATCCATTGTTAATCCAGTAATCTTGGTTGGTAAAGTTAAAGATCAGACATAAAAGAAGCATTCTGTACCTAGTCAAGACTGATGTGGTTATTTTCCTCCCATTTAAAAGTTCACTTGGCCAGGTGTAATTTGGCTCATGCCTGTAATCTCTGTACTTTGGAAGGCCAAGCAAGATAGGAGGATTGCTTGAGGCCAGGAGTTCCAGACCAGCCTGGGCAACATAGCGAGACTCCATCTCTAATTTTTATTTATATATATATATATATATATATATATATATATATATATATATATTTTTTTTTTTTTTTTAATTTTAAAAAATTAAGTTATTCCAGTGTTCTGAAGGAAGATACTTTTCTATAGTTCAGATTGCTTAAAATATTCCACAACACGAAGATATCTAATCTTCATTATGCATGTCCCATTAGGTGTCATGACAAGGATAGGTAGAAATCAACAGCTCCAGCAGATGGCTTAGTCTGGTCATCTGACATCCTTTTTCTTTGCCATTGCATGTTAACATCTCTCCTTCAAATAAAGAATGAAGACGCCTGTATCCTTTGAAGGAAATAATCATTTTACTTACATTCTCAGCGCTCTATGGCACAGTTAAAGTCCAAAATATTTATTTCCTTCCCTTAAAGGAGGGGAAAGGGCATCCACAGTGCCACATTTGCTGGCCCTTGGCCAAGTTTAAATGGAAGCTGAGCCCAAGGGCAACTTTGAGCTCACCAATTCTGCACAGGACCTGAGACATCAAAAGCTGCTGTTGCTCTCACCATCTCTAAGAGTCCTACAGCTGGGGGACTGCTGACAACTGCTATTCAGACAGAGCAGAGAAACATACTGTGCCCCTTCCCAGAGCTGGGTACTTTATAGAGAGACTGAATTACTATAGAGGAGGACAGCAATGAAGTCAGAAAAGGATGCTGGTTGTAAATTAATGTTCTGATAAGGACCACAGATTTCAAAAGCTGTCTCATGGCATGGCCTCTCTTTGTGCCTCAGTCAACAAGCTGTCACACATGAGAACACAGAGAACTGGGAACAAAAAGAGGGAACAGTCATAAAACTACCCAACCAAAGGAGGAAAAAAATGCACAAAGGCAACAGCTAAGAGCATCACTCAAGGGCTATATGATTTACTACAGTTTAAAAAAAAAAAAACTTTTATTATTCTTATTAACTGCACTCAACAAAAATGCAAATACTGTAATTTGAAATTTTTATAGAATATGATCTATTTCCCCAAACCTGGAAAAAACTGGTTTATTTCTGGCCCCAAATCACAGATTGAAGGATACCACGATGCAAATCCAGTTAAAGAGGAGCATGAATAAATAGTCTGCTGGCCTCCCATCAAAAGCTCCTGGAAACAAAAACAAGCCAAATGTCATGGTTCAGAATTTCAGAACAAAGTAACATCTATGAAGAGAAACACTTCAAAAAGTTATAGAAAAAGTCAAAATGAGAACATTTTAAAAATCACTCATCTCTAGAAAAGAGAATTTTTTTAAATATCTAAACAATGTCCTCAATAAAGCCCTGAATCAAAGTCACCTGAGTAAGGCTCCTCTGTGCTCTCCTAATTGAATTCCAGTAAGTGACATGATCTGATGACCACAGGCTAAAACAGACCCAGAGGAAGTACAGTCAATTCTGCAGCTATGAGTCCTGCATCCCGAAGACCAGTGAGGCCCCCCAAGCTCCCTCCCAGCCCATCAGCCTTTCCTTCTTGGCTCTCACCATGATCTGATGGCTGCATTTGGGACTACATGCCTGATCCCTGGCCTCCCCCACTAGACCATAAGCCCTGTTGGAGGAGGAACCTCTTTTGTCTCCTGTTGCATCTCCTCCAGCATAGCTATGCTGGGAGGTACTTACCATTATCATTAGAAACACACATACACACACACGCCACCTGTCCCACACTGGCCTTAGATAAAGAAAAGAAAGTCTCTGTCTTCCAGGGCCTTACAGTCTACCAAGAGAAAACAATGTGGGGGACGTAGGGAATAAAGCATCAGCCAAACCTTGCCATAGCCTCTGACTCAGCCCTCATACTGCATCTCTGGCAGGGAGAATGGAAAGACCTATGACCCACTTCTTACACATGAGGAGTTAAGGTCACATGACCAAAGTCACAGAGCTTGTTAGAAGCAGAGTGACATCTAATTACTAGCACAGTGCTCTTGTCACTGCCCCATATGCCTTACTGGGCAGAATAATCAACAATGGCCTAGCTCTCTCTTTTTTTCTTTATCTTTTTGAGACAGAGTACCACTCTGTTACCCAGGCTGGAGTGCAGTGGCACAATCTCTGCTCACTGCAACCTCCGCCTCCCAGGTACAAGCAATTCTCCTGCCTCAGCCTCCCAAGTAGCTGGGATTACAGGTGTCCACCACCACACCCAGCTAATTTTTGTATTTTTAGTAGAGAGGGGTTTCACCATATTGGCCAGGCTGGTCCTAGCTCTGTGACAAGCATGCTTCCTAATGCCTTCAGTTACGAGACTTTAAGAGAAGCGAAAAAAGAAACAGAAATGACTGTACGATCACTCTAGCTTGAAAGTTGCTTTCCCTCCCTGCTTCACATCCCTCACAGTTACATGCCATAGCTAGTCAGTTTAAAAAAAAGAAACCCAACACGTGTCAATGAGGCAAAAAGATATATCTAAAAGAAAATAAGTTTCCAACAAAAATGTCTTTTCCTCTCCTTTATTTCTCCCTTGATACCCTGAAGCACACTTTGGCCAGTGTTAAGCAGACCTAATGCTAGAGGATCACAATGATGAATCAGAGCTGAAATTCTAACACAATTTCTCAATTTTAATAACAGCTGTGCTTCCTTTGATGTGGCTTTGGCTGTCTGATTCCTAAGGAGTCTTTAGACTGAGTACTTAAAATATTGTAATCATATAAATATGGTACTATATTATCTGGCATGCTTGCAACTGAGAATTTACAAATTAACTGGTTTCAAATTACAGTCTTCCAGTTCAAATCAGAAACCTCATAAATAAGCCAACTCTGCTATATACCTAACAATTTAGCCAGGCAGGAAAAGATGCAGGTGGCAAACATTTTGTTAAGACGTTAACTTAAAGCTTTGTGGTTGAGAGAAAACCAAGTGAACCTGGGTTCCAGTCCTAGCTCCGTTAATTCAAAGAGCTTTGCGACTTTTGGGACATGTCACCACCACTCCAGATCACTGTTTTCTTATCTATGAAATAAGGGCGTTAAATAGAATGATCTCAAAAGTTCCTCTCTACACGTTTATAGCAGCTATTATTCATAATGGTCAAAAAATGAAACCAAGTCAAATGTCTATCAACTGATGACTGAATAAATTAAAAAAGAGGTATATCCATACAATGAACTCTTACTTGGCAATAAAACAGAATGAATGCTGTTAAAAGAAAGTCAGAGCGGGGAAAAAAGAAAAACAGAATGAAGTACTGACACATGCTATATGAAAGAATCTTGAAAACATTATGTTATGTAAAAGACGTTAGGTCACAAAATACAACATACCGTATGATTTTGTTTTAAGAAATACCCAGAACAGGCAAATCTAAAGAGGTAATAAGATCAGTGGTTTTAGCTGGGTACAGTGGCTCACACCTATAATACCAGCACTTTGGGTAGCTGAGGTGGGCAAATCACTTGAGGTCAGGAGTTTGAGACCAGCCTGGCCAACATGGTGAAACCCTGTCTACTAAAAATACAAAAATTGGCTGAGTGTGGTGGTATACGCCTGTAGTCCCAGCTACTCAGGAGACTGAGGCATGAGAATTGCTTGAACCTGGGATGCAGAGGTTGCAGTGAACCAAGATAGCACCACTGCACTCCTGCCTGGGTGACAGAGTGAGACTCTGTCTCAAAAAAATAATAGTAATAATCAGTGGTTTCCTAAGGCATCTGGGGGAGGATGGGATTAAATGAAAAGGGAGAGGGGTTGCTAATGGCAGGGTTTTTTTGGGGGGTGGTGAAAAATTATAAAAATGAGTGTGATAATGACTGTGCAACTCTGTCAATATACTAAAAACCAATGAATTGTGCGTATTTTAAATGGGCACATTGTATGGTATGTGAAGTATATCTCAATAAAGCTGTTAAAAAAAATGCCTCTCAGCTCAAGCATTTCAAAATGCCCTATAGTTGGTGAGTAGGGAATGAGGGGGCAACTTATAAGAATCAAAGCAAATAAAAGAGACCAGTGACCTAATAATCCCACAAATTTGTCCTAAATTGGTAGTCAGGGAGAGTAACGTTACAATTTATTACCTGACTAGGTAATAGGGATGGGTAAACAGATTCAAAGACTTTAAATACGCACAAGCAGACAAAAATAAAAAGTGGCCATTGGCCAGGCGCGGTGGTTCACACCTGCAATCCCTGCACTTTGGGAACTCAAGGCAGGTGGATCGCTTAATGTCAGGAATTCGAGACCAGCCTGGCCAACATGGGCAAAGGCCACCTCTACCAAAAATACAAAAATTAGCCAAGCATGGTGGTGCACACCTGTAATCCAGCTACTCAGGAGGCTGAGGCATGAGAATCGCTTGAACCCAGGAGGCAGAGGCTACAGTGAACCGAGACCATGCCACTGCATTCCAGCCTGGGTGACAAAGTGAAACTGTATCTCAAAAAAAAAAAAAAAGGTCATGGAATTATTGCAATTTAGGTTTAATAACAACATTAGAATTATTTTTTAAGTCCTTACAGTTCAGAGCTAAATTCTGAAGTATTTATAAATGATCTGGCATTTTGCTTCAGATAATCAGGGGCAGAGGACAGCCATAGATACAGATAAAACAAGACTGCCTATCAGATCACTATGTGAGGTGATAACCGTTAGATGGTTAGGGAGGGTTCATTCTGTCACACACTATGACATGGATGAACCTTAAAAACACTGTGCTAAGTGAAAGACGCCAGTCACCAAAGGACATATGAAATGTCCTGAATAGGTAAATCCATATACATGTAAAGTAGATTAGTGGTTGCCAGAGGCTGGGAGGAGGGAAAGAGGGGGTGAAGAGTGACTGCTTCGGCTTTTTAGGGGGTGATGAAAATGTTCTGGAATTAGACTGTGGTGATGACTGCATAATATTGTGAATATACTAAAGACCACTGAATTGTACACCTTAAAATGGTTAAAATGATGAATTTTATGTTATGTGAACTTGGTCTTAATAAAAAGGGTGCATTGACTTTTCCCTCCACTTCTGCATGTTTGAAAATTTCCCAGAGTAAAATTTTAAATAACTGATCATAGATCATCCATACTTAATCTATTTTACTATTGATATAACATTTACTATCAATATAAAAAAATTACTCCAGCTGGGCACAGTGCCTCACGCCTGTAATCCCAGCACTTTGGGAGGTAAAGGTGGGGAGATCTCTCAAGTCCAGGAGTTCAAGACCAGTTTAGGTAACATGGTGAAACCCCATCTCTACAAAAAATATAAAAATCAGCCAGGTGTGGTGGTCTATACCTACACTCAGAGCTGCTCAGGAGGCCAAGGTGGCAGGATCACTTGAACCCAGGCATTCAAGGCTTCAGGGAGCCATGACTATACCACTACACTCCAGCCTGGGTGACACAGCAAAAAAAAATTACTCTAATAACTTAATCTTCAATTAAGCTATACCAGAAACGTAGAATGCTAAATACTCAGTATCATAACGGGTCCAACCGGAACAAAGGAGAATAAAAATCAAATATTCTGGTAGATTTAAAGATCAAACCCCTGATATGGAGGTGAGAGGCCTAGCTGTCAGTTTCACTTCTGCCAAGTTACTTCACTTCCTTGAATCTTCTATTCATCTTTTGATAAAACTCAGGAAACTAAAATCGGTTCCTCCCAATAGTAATATAATAGTCTGTAACCTTACACTTTGTATTAACACAATTTATTTATTTTCAAAAAGAACCAAAATACCTATCCTACTATTTATTTGCAGTGATGAGCCTGATTCACAATTCTCAACAATATGAGCACTGACTTCCATTTAAGGGTAGTTCAGAGTTCTCTACCCTGAGCTAACAGCCTGCAGGTTTACAAAGTCTCTGAAGTCAGTCAACCTTTTCAAAATCATTTCAATTTAACAAAATTATATCCATTTTAACACAGTATATATAAATTTTAACACAGTATATTCATGTAATGTTTCTTTAGTATAAGCACTCAGAACAGCATGTAAGGTATTGTAGGAAATAAATGACAATTCATTAAGACACTTTTAAGAAAAGATTTTTAGAAGGTATCCATAACATTATATACGTTGGCTAGACACAGTGGCTCACACCTATAATCACAGCACTTTGGGAGGCTGAGGCAGGCAGATCACTTGAGGTCAGGAGTTTGAGATCAGCTTGGCCAACAGGGTGAAACCCCATCTCTACTAAAAATACAAAAATTAGCCAGGCAAGGTGGCAGGTGCCTGTAATCTCAGCTATTCAGAAAGCTGAGGCAGAGAATTGCTTGAACCCTTGAGGCAGAGGCTTCAGTAAACTAAAATAGCACTACTGCACTCCAGCCTGGGTGACAGAGCAAGACTGCTTCAAAAAAAAAAATTACATAGATACTCATACCTGACAAACTACCACATATTATTAAATCTTGGCTATATACTGTATGTTAGAGTTGAGTTTTTCAATCAGAGAACAAATCAGGCTTTTAATTACATAAATTCGTGTTCAACCCCAATCTAGGAGGCATATATACTGCAGCCCAATTTTGCACTGAAGGACAAGGACTGCTGTGAAAGAAATGAGTGAGACCACCAAAATTTATGACAGGCACACAGCTCAGCCACTAAGGAGATGGGCAAGACACGTCAGCCTCTGATCTGCTGCATCTATAAAATGGTAACACTGCTACTTATACCTCAGGATGTTGTGAGGATTAAAAATCGAATCATCGGCCGGGCAGGGTGGCTCACATGTGTAATTCCAGCACTTTGGGAGACCGAGGTGGATGGATTACAAGGTCAAGAGATCGAGAACATCCTGGCCAACATGGTGAAACCCTGTCTCTACTAAAAATACAAAAATTAGCAGGGCGTAGTGGCACTAGCCTGTAATCCCAGCTACTCAGGAGGCTGAGGCAGCAGAATTACTTGAACCCAGGAGGTAGAGGTCGCAGTGAGCCAAGATTGCACCACTGCACTCCAGCCTGGCAACAGAGTAAGACTCTGTCTCAAAAAAAAAAAAAAAAATCAAATAATTTACATGCCTAGTACAGTCCAGGCACAGTCACTGAGCATTTATTATCCTTAGGTAATTTCATTTCATAATGCTAACTGCCCTCCAAATCTCTCCAAAGTAAACACATGGATTAGTAAATTAGAAAGAAACAATACTTATCAATAACTATGGGTATCATACCTGTTTCAAGTCGTGTAGAATACTGATATAAGAAATATAAATTGACCAAATAAAGAAATCCAGTTCCTGGACCCACAGGGAAATAAAAGGTGGCAGTAATTGGCCTCCAAACCTGTCCAGATCAAAATAAACACAGCTATTAGTTTCTGTAAGCCTGGTTTTTTTTTTCCTTTTAACTAAACAAAATTAACCCCTGCAAAGCATGCTCCTCAATGTGTTGGAGTGACACTACCAACACAATTCAAAAAGACAACTGAAGAAAAGTGTTCATACCAATTACAATCACACCAATTTGTAAATCAGTGGAATAAAGCAACATCATAAAATAAGCAACAAATACTTCTAAACAAGTTGAAACAAAATCAATACTATATGAGTACATGGTTAGTCTTTACTGAGATCAGGCAACCAACTAAGCATCAAAAATAAATTACAAAGGCCTAATTTTCGACAATACAGTAATGCCTCTATTTAGGGAAAGAATATTCTGGAATGACAAACCTTGTCCAAAAATGCCACATTCAAAGGTAGAAGTAAAATAACAATTTTTTTATTCAAACCAATGCACTAAATAGGCAACAGGGATACTTTTTCTTTAAAAATATTTCCCCCCAACCAGAAAAAAAAAAAAAAAAAAAGAATAAGGGTCTAAAGTAACAAGTAGGCCAGGCATGGTGGCTCATGCTTGCAATCCCAGCACTTTGGGAGGTCGGGATGGGCAGATCACCTAAGGTCAGGAGTTCAAGACCAGCCTGGCCAACATGGTTAAAACCCCATCTCTACTAAAATTACAAAAAATTAGCCAGGTCCGTGGTGGCAGGCACCTGTAATCTCAGCTACTTGGAGGCTGAAGCAGGAGAATCCCTTGAACACAGGAGGTGGAGGTTGCAGTGAGCCAAGACCACGCCACTGCACTCCAGCCGGGCAGCAAGAGTGAAACTCCATGTCAAAAAATAAAATAAAATAAAGTAATAAGTAAACATCACTCCCAACCTCCAGTCTCCCGTTCCCTTTCCAACAACAGCTGATCAATGTCTTGTATTTCCTCTAAGAAATATGCGTTACTATTATTCATTCTTCTTTATTCTACTCACTATTTTATACTTGGTTCAATCTCAACAAAATATTTTTATTGGCTTCATAGTACTCCTTTTATGTGAAAGTCTAAACTTTTGTTTAAACTGTTATAATGACACAATGAATATTCTTCTATGTCCTCTTTGTATGTGTATATACAGAATAAGTTCCTGTCAATAAATCTGCTAGAGCAACAGACATAGCATTTATTTTGGTAGATACTGCCAAATGCCTACAAAAATGTTTGTTCAATTTATACTTCCTCCTAAAAAGCAGAAGAATGGCTGTCTTCTCTCCATACTCTCACCATTTAGTGTATTATCTGAAAACTAATTTTTATTTGCATTATGAAAAGTCAAGCACCTTTTCAGGTTTTAAAAACCTGAGCATCTCCTATATTCATTTTTTCTTCTGGATTTACATTTTTTTTTTTTTTGTTGCCCCAAGATAGAATCTGATGCCCAGGCTGGAGGGCAGGGACATAATCTTAGCTCACTGCAACCTCCACCTCCCGGGCTCAGGTAATTCTCCCACCTCAGCCTCCCGAGTAGCTGGGACTACCAGCATACACCACCACACCTAGCTAATTTTTGTATTTTTTGTAGAGACAGAGTCCCATGATGTTGCCTAGGCTGGTCTCGAACTCCTGAGCTCAAACAATCCACCCACCCCGGCCTCCCAAAGTGCTGGAATTACAGGCATGAGCCCTCACACCTAGCTGCATTTCTTCAAACATTATGAAATTTCTTTCTCAAGCGTTTTCTGATCTGTCATTAGACTTTCATGATATTTTTGCTGTATTTTGACATACAAAGATTTAATTAAATGTAGGCAAATGTACCCATGATATATTATGTTTGGAAAGTCTCTTTGCTCCAAGAATGTAAATGCTCATGGTTTTATTTCAGCACTTTCAAGGTGCATCCAAGGAATGAGGAAGAGATTCAACTGTTTTTCTAAATGGTCACTCCATTTTCCCAACCCCATTTACAGAGTAACTCACATTTTTTCCTTTATATTAAGGTCTACTTTAACGCCATTCTGTTTGGAATTGATTCCTATGCCAATATCAAGTTATTTTAATTTCTGTGGGGTTTTTTTCTTTTTCTTTTTCTCTTTTTCTGAGACAAGGTATCAGTCTGTTGCTCAGACTGGAGTGCAGTGTAGTGATCACAGCTCACTGTAACCTCAAATTCCTGGGTTCAAGCAAGTCTCTGGACTCAGCCTCCCAAGTGGCTAGGACTACAGGCATGTACCATCACACCTGGTAATTTTTTTTTTTTTTTTTTGAGATGAGCTCTCCCTATGTTGTCCACGTTGGTCTCAAACTACCAGCTTCAAGTGATCCTCCCACCTCAGCCTCCCAAAGTGCTGGAATTATAGGCATGAGCCACTGTGCCTAGCCTAATTTCTACTCCTGCTATATTTTAATATCTGGTAAAGTGAAATAGTTAAATAATATCCCCCCCCTTATTTTCTTCGACAATTGTCACAATTTTCTTGGTTAGTCTCAATATTTTATTTCTCTAAATGAATTAGAACCAATACTTTATTATATCAATGTGATACTGATATAATTCCCAGCCAAGAAGTCTTTCGTAGCTTTTAGAGTTGTCTACAAAGCTCTTTCTTTTTATACCTATTTACGAAAGCTGAGTATCTTACTGCCTGCAACATTGAAAACTGAGCTTCTGCCAGGCGTGGTGGCTCATGCCCATAATTCCAGCACTTTGGGAGGCGTAGATGGGCGGGTCACCTGAGATCAGAGTTCAAGACCAGCCTGACCAATATGGAGAAACCCCATCTCTACTAAAAACACAAAATTGGCTGGGTGTGGTGGCTCATGCCTGTAACCCTAGCTACTTGGGAGGCTGAGGCAGGAGAATTGCTTGAATTTGGGAGGTGGAGGTTGTGGTGAGCCAAGATCACACCATTGCACTCCAGCCTAGGCAACAAGAGTGAAACTCAGAAGGAAACTCAGAAAGAAAGGAAGGGAGGGAGGGAAAGGAAGAGAGAAGGAGAGAAGGAAGGAAGGAAGGAAGGAAGGAAGGAGGGAGGGAGGGAGGGAGGGAGGGAGGGAGGGAGGGAGGGAGGGAAGGAAGGAAGGAAGGAAGGAAGGAAGGAAGGAAGGAAGGAAGGAAGGAAGGAAGGAAGGAAAGAAACTGAGCTTCTTGGGATTCCCAAGCATACAACCATCACTATAAAGAAACTTTCGTATCTTATTTCAATTCATGTCTAATTCACTGGCTAGCACCCCAACCAGAACAATGCTAAATAGTGATGGAGTAGATGGCCTTCCTAAACTTTTGGAAATGCTGGCCTTTGGAATGAGAGCTATGCATCTATCTCATTGCGCACTAGCATGTACCAAGCACAAAAGACATGGTCCCTGAATTTCTCATAGTAGTGGGGGAGGCTGTCAAAAGAAGGAAGAGCTGGCACAAGGGAGGGGACGTGTGGACTTGTTACAAAGGCCCCAAGAATTGCAAGAGCACAACAACTGAATGGGTACTGCTAACAATTTGAGTGTGGCTGGAATGGGGGACATCAGTTACAGGGACTGGCCACATACAGACTGGCCAGTTACATTCTCCCGGCATAGGAATGTAACCCTCAGAGCTTAATTCCTTGTAGAGGAAAAGGCACTGTACATACCTAAAAAGTGACTTTCCAAGAAACTTGTATTAAACCAGAAAAATAAAATAGGTTAAAATCTGTTTTTTTCACAACTTTATCACAGAAACAGGATAGTTTAATGGAAAGAGAGCTGGAGGTGATTTGAGAAGGCCTGTGGTTAAGTTTTTGCTTATGAGTCACCACTTCTGAGCCTCAATTTCCATAGTTAATGTTTTTTTTTAAAGAAATCAATAAATTAGTGTGCTACTCAGCTTATTTACATGCACTGATTCAGGAGATGTATTTTACAGATGAGGAAATAAGATGAGAAAAGGTTAAGTATCAGCTAGTAAGTGGTAGAGCTAGAATTTTATCCCAGTCTGACTCCGAAGTTTGTGCTACTAAGCCCCTATTTTTACAATCCCTCCCACAAGTGACGTCAGTACTATGAGGTACAATTCCAATGAGTGTAAGTTTTCACTACTACTACACTTGTATAATCCTGAAATGGACTGAGAGTACAATTCATTGTCTGTGCTTAAGAAAAGCCCTGAGAGTAAAGACCAGAAGCCAACCCTCCTAAGTAGCCCTGGAACCTTGGAGAAGCATGGACCTTTGAGTTGGCTTCTTTATCCACCCAATGACATTATCCTATGACTTCTGCCTTCCTTATCTTACAGGATGTGTAAAAGGATGGAATTAAGAGAGTGGATAAAAAAAGATGCTTTGTAAAAAGAATTAATATGTGTGGGTGTGTTAACTGTATTATCACAATCTTTAGGAAACACTCGCTAACTGGTTTTATAAATTCATATTTCAACTACCCCCATATTCCTATAAGGTGCTCAAGGCCTGATTTTGGAAAAAAAACCTCATTTTTGTCTGACTACATTTTCTCTAATGCTGATGACACAAGGCTATTTTTAGTCACTGCTTGCACCTGTTCTTTGAATATCAGTGTCTGTCAAAATACCTCACTTCTTTTCCCTGTTCATTAAGCTTACCCTTGAGTTACACTTGCTTCCATTGATCTAAAAGACTTAATACTATTTTTGTATTACTTTAAAATTATAATCTGAAAACACCAGAAGACATCTTATCTCTTTAGAAGGATACAGCATAACATATTTCTGAAATCACCATTTTAAGTATCCAACTAAATCGTTTTTTCCTCTACCTGAGGAAGTATGTAAATAGTAAGGAGAAGAAAATTGGCTTTCTGTTCAGTGCCAGGAGTAGAGACCCATTTTCAACCCTGGAAAGCCTAAGAGGCAGCCAAGTGCGGCACAAAGAGCTATGACTTTAGACAGAGGACTGCCTGCCTCGCACTGAGAGGACTCGCAGGGGAGCAGGGAGTATCTCATTTTAACTCCACAGCAATCCCAAGGCCAGACTTATAATGATCCCAGTTTTTTCAGG